ATATATACGGAGTCTGTTCAAAAAGTATATATATATATATATATATATATACAGGGTGGATCATTTTAATCCATCCAGTCGAATATTTCAAAAACCAAGTCCGAGAGAGAAAAATTTTTCAGACAAAAGTTGTTTGGCTGCGAGTGGACCATAAGACGCTACCATTGGTTTGACCTTGTAGAATTATTTGAAAGTCACATGAAGGTCACCTCAATTTTTTTTATCGGCATCCTCTATTTTTTATTATATATTATTGTAGCTGACCTCGAGAGCTTTCCAGAACACTATAATGAAATGTTTCTTTATTTAGTACTTTTCGAGTTATAAAGCTCCAAAGTTGCAATTTGAATTAATAGGAATTAATAGTCTGTAGATACAATTGGATATTTAGGTATCAATTGATTACGGAAATCTNCCACTGTTGATCGGAGTATCAAACTTTATTACTCACAATCAGAGGCTTATGTTTGCCAACAATACCCATGGCTGATTATCGTTCAGAGATTGTTGATATTCTCCTTGTTCTCGGAGAATGTGAACTAAATTATCATGAAGCTTCGCGAGTTTACCGGAATCGTTACCGCGAAAGAGAACAACATCCGAATCATACTACAATCCGGGACCTCGAACTAAGAGCTCGCCAAGGCCGTTTAGGACGTCAAAGAGCACATCATGCATTTTCAAATTGCAACTTTGGAGCTTTATAACTCGAAAAGGACTCAATGAAGGAACATTTCATTATAGTGTTTTGGAAAGCTCTCGAGGTCAGCTACAAGAATATGTAATAAAAAGTAGAGGATGCCATTTAAAAAAATTGAGGTGACCTTCATGTGACGTTCAAATAATCCTTCAAGGTCAAACCAATGGTACCTTCTTATGGTCCCCTCGAAACTAAACAACTTTTGTCTGAAAAATATTTCTCTCCCGGGCTTGGTTTTCGAAATATTCGACTGGATGTATTAAAATGGTCCACCCTGTATATATTATAGGCAAGTTTTCTATTCAAATTCTGAACAATAATTACTCTATCGGACTTGTTAATGTACAATCCATGTCCAATCGTCAAAGATTCGTGAGACGCACTTCTCGGCAGCGGACAAAAATGAATTATTCTGTGACATCCTGTGAAAAACCACTCCACATTAGACATACTCGAAAAGTTTAACAGCTTCAAAGACCTAGAATAGCTCCTTATATTCTCGTCATATTTTTTCGTTCTGATTTCTTCTATGCTCTTTCTTATGGAAGACATTGGTATTCCGAGGATAAAATGACCTTTTCCTTTTATCCTTCCTTCCTTTCTTTCTCGATCTTTCTCCTCTTTTCAGCTAGCGAGATAGTCGTGAGAACAATCGTCGGATTTTGACTCATGCGGGACGGAACGGAATCGGCCGCTGCTACTACGTGCTCTTAGCCTCTAATAGCAGAGTGCGCACATTTATCCCCAGCGCGACCTCGCACCGTCTGCTGTAATACGTGACCGTGGGTACTTTATGTAATGCCTATAAATCCGAGGGAATTGCGAGAGCTTTCGCGCAATGGGAGCAAGATACGACGATCTTCGTAAAGAGCCTCTATTTCCGCCGATTTCTAACTTAATTTCTACGACTACAATTTCTACGTCGGCCGTTAATCGCTGTGCGATCAATAACGTTGCGAAATTTTCTGCTGCTGCTCCGCTATTATTCTGGATCGCATAGTATTATAGATAAACAGATATGTATATTCGTATACTTTAACCTGGAAGGCCACACTGACGTTTGCATAGGAGATGAGAGTTTAAAATATGCGAATGAACATGACGATAATCGTCGCGTTAATTTAACTACCTACAACTTGTACTTAAAGTCAATTCACGATATGAAAATTAAATGTGACAATGTATAAGATCTATGTTTTTAATTTGTAGGAAATATAATTTTCGATTATAGTTCTGAAAGATCCAGAAATAACGTTAAAAAATAGGCGTAGTTGAGGAATGGGCGATTCAGTAGAAAATGTTATTATTTCGCATCAATATGTATTGTGAATAAAAATCGATACACCTCAAATATCAGATGGAATATATTGATATTGATGATAACGATATTTTCGATATTTTTGTTATATATTGACTGCATTTCAATTATATTTATATAGAGTAATTCATAAATGAATGTCAATATTTCAAGGGATAAATGTACATATTAAAATAAGTAAAAAACGTCATATAAATATATGTCCTATATACCTTCAATTTTTGAGTTATGGATAGTTAAAAAAATATCCGAAATGTCCGCCTCGTGCATCAACACACGCTACTGCACGCTTTAGCATTAGCGAGTTCGCACGCACTCGCTCGAAAATACTAGGTATTCTTCAAATAGTCTCAAACCCATTTCGTATCCTTTCTCGCAGATCATCCACATTGTTTACTAGTGTTGAATACACAATAGATTTTAAATAGCCCCAAAAATAAAAATTGAATAGATTGAAATCAGGAGATCGTGGCGGTCATGCGATGAGTCCACCTCGCCTTATCCATCAGTTTGTGAAGGCGTTGTTTAGGAATATTCTCACCGCAAGAAAGGAATGAGGCGGACCACCATCCTACATGAACCACAAGTTTTGCTTGATACCCAGGGACATATCATAAAATACTTCCTGAATGACGTTCCATAAAAAGTTAAGATAAACAGGTCCATTTAGTCAAGCTGGAAGAAAATATGGCCCCTAAAGATTATCTTCCACAATTCCTCCCCAGGTATTGACAAAAAATTGTTATTGGTGCCTTGACTGCAAGATTGCGTTTGGGTTATCTTCTGACCAAATATGTTCATTATGAAAATTTATTATTCCATTTCTGGTTAACTTCGCTTCGTCAGTAAATAAAATGAAACATAAGAAAGCAGGGTTCTCAGCAAGTTGTCTTAGTAATCATTAGCAAAAATTTTTTCTTAAAATGTGATCTGCCTGTTGAAGACTTTGGACATGTTGTAAATGATATGAATAAATCTGATATACGAGGTCTGGCTATTAAATAACGAGACTGCGCGCGCAGAAGTCGTCCTA